GTTTGTTCAAATCATGACCCCAGGATGGTAGGGTGGGTCCACAATGGCCGATCAAATTTTACATAGGAGTATAAAAGGAAAATCTTTAAAAATCTTCTTCTCAAGAACCACTAGGCCAGGAAAGATGACACTCATGTTGAAGCATCCTCAGGTTGTGTAGATTCAAGTTTTTACAAATCATGACCCCCAAGGGTAGGATGGGGCCACAATGGCTGATCAAATTTTTACATAGGAATTTATAGGAAAATCTTCTTCTCAAGTACTTCAAAGCAATGATTAGTGATAGTATAGGAAGAAAATGTTAAAAATCTTTTTATCAAGAACAGCAAAGTCATATCACCGTGTATATCCCAACATGCGGGGTGTATACTATGTTGTGCGCGGGGTGTATGCCTCCGAAGCGAGAGAAAGGGGGTCAATGTAGGTTCTTTGTCCATTTTCTCAACTTACGGATATTTTTCGCCAGAAAGCGTATGCCTACGGAAGAAATCATTATCTAAAGAGTATATGGATATCTATGAATCCACTGGAAACCTTCTAGTTTTATCAAACACCTCAACACAATTCCGAGGATCGGAGCAAGATTGACGCAACACTGTGTTTATGATCAAATATCGGAAGAAAGCTTTGCTTTATCATCACTTTTATATTATTGTTAAATACATGATTACTAGATAAATGTTTATACAAATTGTCTGTTAATAAAACAGTTCGTATATAAAGATATTGACGAAAAACCTATGTTGTGTCCGGGGTGTATGCAACATGTTGTACGCGGGGTGTATACCCCATATTTTTCTTGGGATTGTTTGTGCGAAGTATATATTGTGTAAATATTTATACACGTTTATAAGCGACAGGTAGTGTTGATAAAAGACCTTAATACTAATGCCAAACCAAAAAGTAAAGTCCAAGAAACTTACTGAAGGATAAAACAAAACTAAATTTAAAAAAAAATCAAAAGAATAAAAAAAAAATATTAAAACGAAGTTAACTATCATATTCAAACATATAATTTAGGCGCTAGATGTGCAAGGAGCGATTGTTATCTGGTCTAAATCTACGTAATCATAAAAGATAAAATCTCTCCAAAAGGGGGCCCTCGCCCAATCCCTGCACTGAGTACACTTTGTCCTTCGGATCATTTTAACCTATATATTTTGCCTGTTAAAAATAATAGAAACACTACATGAATGGTGTATTATGAATAAATCTCTTTTGTTTCTGCAACTTTTATGTTATCAATACATGTATTCTTAAGCATTTATGACAGTGATGTAGAATCTATTTTGGAGGGGTGAAAAAAAAATATTGACATAAGTTGACTAGCTATAAAGGGGGGGGGTATCGAAACTCAAAACTCCTACTGTATTTCAGAGTGGGTTAAAGGTCCCATCTTTTTTCATTAACCATTCTCTTTTTTTTTAACTTAAACGTACGACATAATCATAGTTTTACTATGCTGCAACAAAAAAGGGGGGCAACTTGACTTTCGACGACATTTTCTGTACACAGGTACTTGTGGACAGGACCCCCCCCCCCCGATATTCAACCCCGGGGCTTATTTGACATTTTTTTTTCACAACTTATATTAGGCCATATAAAATTGAAATCTTGGTTCTCAGGCCCGCGCGCATCCGTTTTGAGGTAGCCGCATTGCCGATTTTATTGCATTTTTGATAAAATAAAAAGTTGGTATTGCGGAGACCAATCCGGGAAAAAAATTTCCGACCTCATTTGTTTCGTAGTTTAGTATTCAAATATCACTTCCGGTAGCCATTTACAATGAGATTTTGGCTACATCGTTTGAAAATACATTCGAGGACATTACCTACGATGTTTACACGCTGTTAAGCAATGGATAAAGCAGAAATTTTGACCAGAAATGGAAAGTATATCTGTGATTAAAAAAATTATCTTTATGTTAAAGAAAATTCGGAAATTAAAATAAAAAAAATACCTCCCTCATCTACTTAATTGCCAATAAAATGAAAAATAAAATGCCGCCCTCCCGCATCTGTTTTGGAGAAAATTGGCCTGAGAACCAAGGAATTAATTTTTGATAGCCTTAGTACTGTACACTTATTCAACATGTTTGCAATAGGAACAAATTGTCAAAACCCCAAAATAATCGATCCACAAAAATACCCCACTATACATTATATTTTCAAAAAGGGGGGGGGGGGGGCTGATACTACGTGTTTGTATGATATATTACATTAATTTTCCTTTCAATTTTTGCAATATGTGGACTCATTTTCCTTATCTGAAAAGATTTCATATTTTACAAATCACAATAAACATGTAAAGCCAGTATAAAAATGCACATTTGTAATAAGGGACGACAATTTTCTGAGGGCATGCACAATTGAATAAAAAAATGTTTTGGGTACAATTACAATTTTACGTTGACGTGTAATTAATATCAATTAATGTTCACCCCTCTAATTTATATCGTATATACACATAGTAAAGTTACACCCCTCCCCCAAAATGACCTAAGACACAACGCCTCCCCCCCCCCCCCCCCTCCGGGTCCATTCCTAAAAAAATATGTACTCAGTACAATACAATGCCTCAATATCAAACAAATAGTTTACTGCCAAATATGAGCTCCTGGGGCAAAGTACACAGCATATACATACTACATGAAGGAAAAATTTTTTGCGGTGTTTAAGACATTACAAAAAGCTTAATATTTTCAATAAAAGGGGTGTGGAGATAACGAACAGTATTCAATCTCAAAGTCCATAAAACAATAAAAATCAAGAGCAGATCAAACACGGACCTCCGAAACATCAGAGGTGGGATCAGGTGCAAGGGATTAATGAGCATCCCCTGAGGACCGGTCACACCCGCCGTGTGCTCCTTGTCATGATCGTGAAATAACGGAAAAATCCGTCGTCCATTCAGTGTATAAATAATGGACTAATAATTGGTTTGAAAAACATTCAGTCAGCATTTGACTCAATGATAAACTGTATTTGCTGACAAGGTCATTGTATCTACCATAGAACTTACGAAATGATGACTTTAAGCGAGACGGCTAATATTCTTTTTTCATCAACTTGCTTGTCAATAATTTACCTCGTTTTAAAAATTGTTAATACGTAGAGCATGATCTTGCGTATCCAATCTATTGAGTGTTATTTACACTCCGTATGCAGTATCATTTAATAAATGTTGAAAAAGGTTAGACAGAAGTTATGAGAGAACGTTAAATGTTCAAAATAATGTCGCTTATTAAACGTGTATAAATATTTCCACAATATATACTTCGCACTAACAATCCTAAGAAAAATATGGGGTATACACCCCGCGTACAACATGTTGCATACACCCCGGACACGACATTGTTTTTTCGTCAATATCTTTATATACGGACTGTTTTATTAACAGACAATTTGTACAAACGTTAACATAGGAAACATGTATTTAACAATATTATAAAAGTGATGATAAAGCAAAGCTTTCTTCAGATATTTGATCATAAACCCAGTGTTGCGTCAATCTTGCTCCAATCCTCGGAATTGTGTTGAGGTGTTTGATAAAACTAGAAGGTTTCCAGTGGGTTCAGATATCCATATACTCCTCAGATAATGCTTTCTTCCGTAGGCATATGCTTTCTGGCGAAAAATATCCGTAAGTTGAGAAAATGGATAAAGAATCTACATTGACCCCCTTTCTCTCGCTTCGGAAGCATACATCCCGCGCACAACATAGTATACACCCCGCATGTTGGGATATACACGGTGCATATGCTGTATATATATGAAGGCATTTTAAAGTAATATTAAATTCAAGCCCCCCCCCCCCCTCCCCTCTTCAGTAAACTTTTCAGTTCTGATCTGATTTGTGTTTTTTCCTAGCCGATTTGCTCAGGTGAGCGATGTGGCCCCTGGGCCTCTTGTTTTACTACGACTAATTTGTTAGCATAAAATAGAATAAGGAATTTGTTTTCGTTAGGAAAAAGAATTGTTTTTCCGAGAAGTATGGAAGACTCTTGACATGAAGAAGAAGTCCTTGCAAAAACATATTGATGTGAAACGGCGATTTGCGGTTGGATTCCATGACAATGAAATCATTGAAAAACTTAAGCTGTCCATTGCTGATGTTGTGTGCAGGCTTGATCACTGGGGTGAGGAGCTTCCACAGTCATGGGCTATGTTTGAAACATTCTTTCTGGAAAAGAAAATTCGCAAGATTTTGAGTACGGTTGAACTTCAGTCTTTTAATGAAACATTGCCTGAGGGAATAAAGCTCAAAACTACTGAAGATATGGATGCCATGCTGCAGTTCTTCCATGACATCAGAGAACTTATGCACTTCAATCAACAATTCCTCAATAAAGTTATTATCCTCGATGTTCAGTGGTTTGCAGATGCCTTTAGAAATGTCATAACAGACAAAAACCATGCAGAAGAAGATTTATTTGAATATGCCTCAGAGTGGGACAAATTCAATGAAACTGGAGAGTTAGATGAAGCACTACTATGTGCCATATGGAGAATGAACAACAATGGTTACCTTGAGCACAAAGAGGATATCATGATGTACATGGAGAAGTTAGGACTCTTGACTAAAATGAGCGACAAAATATGGTATGTCCCATGTATGAACAAGATGCAATTTCCAGTAGACTGCTTCTCATCATACCCTGCCTCCTCCATCCTTTGCTACACGTTTGATGTTCTTCCTGTGGAAATTTTCCATCGCCTTGTAGCAACGTGCATGCAGATTCCTAACTGGGAGATTTTTACAAGATGAAGACAGAGGATGCATTTACCAGACTGCAGCTATTTTTATGTTTCATGACCAGCACCATAACATCATGCTTGGAATGACGCAATCAGAAATTCAGTTGCAAGTGTTTGTTGTGGAGGGAGAAGTTGATGTTTCAACCTGTCACCAGATTAGGGAAAACATTCACGTATGTTACACAACCTTTCCAACACATTCCAGAAAAACTCAGATTTCCAGGTTGCATTCAAATGCAAATCAACTGGATTTTGTGACAGCAAAGAAAGTGCTGTCATAAGTGAATCTAAGTGTATCAAAGAAACTTTTCTGTGTCCATCCTGTCCAGCAAACAGGAAGCACCGTGTCAACACAGAAGATATAACGAAATATTGGAAACAGGTGATTCTTTTACAATGTTGAATACTACATCAATACATAAAACATATATATTTGACAACTGCAAACAAGTTAAAAAATTTCCTTTTCTAATCAGTTTCTGAATGAATTACATGTATTACATGGCAAAGATGTCCTCATACTTTACAGCAGTATTCAAATTAATTTATCCATTAAAATGTGTTTTCTTCTTACAACTTTTAGAATACAAATTTCCAAGAAAAATCTATAAGTGATTCTTTGATATGATGTTTTTTTTATTTTTATTAAAATTGATTAGCGATATTAATTGAATGAGGTGGATTCTTGTTTTAGATAAAACCAAGTATTTCCAGTACGACGAGTGCTTCTGGTCAAGACTTGGGGGGTCGATCTAGATTTGCCAAACTTGGAATGGCAACAAACGATGTGCTGAGTCAGGTATACCGAGATATACTAGAGATGGAGGTTCTCCCTTCCCTTGTTTACACCAAAGTGAAAGCTTTACCAAATTTTTACAAAAGATTGCGCCCAGAACAAGAAAAACTCCTGATAGATGCAAAACATTCGGGATATAAGAATTTTGATATTTCATTAACATACACATTGATCAGAAACATTTGTTCAACGACTAAGATTCCTAAACCAACAAAACGAAAATGGGGAGGAGAGCCAGCAGCAGGAGAAGTGACCGTGGGTGACGATATCGAGAGAATTAGGTCAATCCGGAACGGTTTGACTGCACATGTGAGTTCAGCCTCAACCCCTCAGAAAGAATTCGATGATACCTGGTTATTGATGTCAGATATCTGCAAAAGACTTGAAACCTTCACTGGAAAGAAGTACTTGGATAAACTTAATAACATTCAAAAACTGACTCTGAAAGAGGAAGATGAAAATGATATTATTGAAAAGGTTAAAATGGAAAGTCAGCATGAAATGGTGAAAGAAATGTGGTCAGATGTGAAAGAGCTTAAAGAAGCAGTATTGAGGTCTGAGGCAAAGCATGCTTCAAATTATGAATATTATTCATAGAATGCTATGGTCAGGTGTGTTTTCCTTTTTAGGTTTTTTTTACTCTTTGAATACATTTTTTATTTAATTTTTCAAACATTTTATGTCTGCCAAAGCTGAGAATTATTTGTAGGAAAGAAGTATAATATATTGCAATCATGTTTTGAAAATTGAAAGACTACATCTTAAAAGAAGAGAATGAAAACACTATAACAAAATAAAACGCCTAAGCACGTCCACGGTATGTAAAGTAAGAACAGGAGTTGTTAAGGTCATTTATATTAGGTCAACATCTATAAATGAATTAAGACTGTCCCCCGCTTGAAAAGTGGGGGATATTAATTTGGGTTTGTCCGTCTAGCTGTCCATCCGTCCGTCCGTCCGCCTTTCTGTCTGTCTTTAACGCTTTCGTTTCCACACGATATCTCGAGAACCCTTTAAGCTTTTGCAATGAAATTTAGCATAGCAACTCCCTGTGGCCAAAGGAAGACCCCTATTGATTTTGAGATCAAAAGGTCAAAGGTCAAGGTCATAAATAAGCAAATTCTGTCTGTTATAACACTTTCGTTTCCACACGATATCTCTAGAACCATTTGCGCTATTGCAATGAAATTTTACATAACAACTCCCTGTGGCCTAAGGAAGACCCCTATTGATTTTGAGATCAAAAGGTCAAAGTTCAAGGTCGTAAATCTATACATTCTGTCTGTGTAACACTCTCATTTCCGGGCGATATTTAAAGAAGATTTTGAGCTTATGCAATGTAATTTTATACTAAAACTCCCTAGGACCTCTCTCGCCCCTCTCAAAGTGCCCCACCCTGTTTGTTTTATTAGTATTTATAGTATTACATGTCGCTATTTTTAGCACAGGGGCATGCGGAGAGTTATTGCGTATAAAACAGGTTCTCGGCGGACTTTATGTTCTTATTACATCTATTAGAACTGTTAAATAAAGGCTAAATAAATCAAACACCATGGATTGTGTAAAATTTTGACAATACGGAACATTAATATATACATGTATGTAACTTGACTTCTCCATATACTTGCCGTCATTTATAGCGATTCCATGGTCTAGTGGTATGTCTCTCGCTTTATATGTGAGAGGTACCGGGATCGAGTCTCGGGCTATTGTTTTTATGCCCCCCTTCGAAGAAGGGAGGGCATATTGCTTTGCTGCTGGTCTGTCGGTCTGTCGGTCCACTTAGTTTCCGTTCATTTTCTTCGCAACCGTTGCACATACTGAAATGAAATTTGGGATACAGATATATCACATGAATATCTAGGTCAAGTTCTGTTTCGGGTACTATCGCACCATTTTTCACAGAGTTATGCCCCTTGGACTTAGAAAAATTCCAATTATTTGCAGTTTCCGTTCATTTTCTTTACAACCGTTGCACATACTTCGATGAAATTTAGTACACAGATTTATCAGATGAATATCTAGGTCAAGTTCTGTTTCGGGTACGATCGCACCATTTTTCACAGAGTTATGCCCCTTGGACTTAGAAAAATTTCAATTATTTTTAGTTTCCGTTCATTTTCTTTACAACCGTTGCACATACTTAGATGAAATTTAGTATACAGATTAATAAGATGAATATCTAGGTCAAGATTTGTTTTGGGTACAATCGCACCATTTTTGACAGAGTTATGCCCCTTCGACTTAGAAAAATTTCAATTATTTGCAGTTTCCGTTCATTTTCTTTGCAACCGCTGCACATACTGAAATGAAATTTTGTATACAGATATATCACATTAATATCTAGGTCAGGTTGTGGTTTAGGTATGATTGCACCATTTTTACAGAGTTATGCCCTGTTGGACTTAGAAAAATTCCAATTATTTGCAGTTTCCGTTTATTTTCTTCACAACCGTTGCACATGCTGAGATGAAATTTAGTGTACAAATTTATCAGATGAGAATCTATGTTAAATTCTGTTTTGGGTACAATCGTGCCATTTTTGACAGAGTTTTGCCCTTTTGGACTTGGAAAAATTCCATTTTGAGGGGAGGGGGGCAGAAGTGTTTTACAAATATCTCTTGTTTTTTAAAACTTTTCTTTTTTTATTCTTAGTATTCAGGGATGTGAAAGGAATAATTTATGAGGTTTTAAAATAATCATTACAGTGTGATAGATATTCCATGTCAAAAGAATCTTCTATACACATAATAAAGAATAAGGAATCAAATCTTTATACGCATATTGAAATACATGTATTTCATTTGCTTCAGCATATAGTATACAATTATTATTAATAATTCTACAAATTAAGTAGGGGATCCGACTTTTTCCTAAGTGGGGGACACGAATTCTCTGAATTAGCTTGTTTGAAACTACATCTATAATGACACCTTAATCAATTTGAACTTTCTTTTATTCATACAATACGGCTTTAGCAGAAATATGTAGAAAAGGGTATTTTCATGGAATTCAATTTGTCATTTCGATACCTATATTAATTTTGATATCATTTTAAAGATGTGGCCAAAAACATGACAAATTACCATTTTCGTAGAGACTATACACAATCTGGATACATTGCCTTTGTGGAATATGAAAAAAGGGATATTCATAACTGTGTTTCATATTTTTTTCATTGAATATGGCTGTTTAAAATGGGGGGGGGGGGTATCTTGTTCACCTACACATTTTACTCTGAAACACCTTATTTTGTCTAAGTTAAAGACATTAAAGGAATTTATTGTTAAAATTTGATAAATCTGTAGGCATCTTTCATTTACTAGATCTTGACCATAAGTATGCACGGAAGGAAAACAACACTGAAGTCAAGTAGACGTTTAAAATAAATTAAATGACACATGACGTGTATAGTAGGAAAATTTCAATAATAACTTGTGTAACTTGAAACTTTCGTGAAATTGCCCAAAAAATTGCAACAGTATTGTTTGTAAAGGATAATAATAGTGTTGTCTGTAGATTTCGATATTTCTGACCTGAGATTTCTCAATAACTTGACCAAAGATACAAATCATTTGATTCGATTTTAGAGTCATTGATTACCATGAATTCAGACATTGTATTCAAACACATTATGAACACGTCCAATAACAACGCAAGACTGAATATTTTGGTAAACAACTAGGTACAAAAGCGATGTACAATCTATTCCTATCTCTACAGTTTGTATGATGCAATAAACTGATGCTGATTGTTCAATTGATAGCTTCAGTAAGACTATGTCCATAGACAGAGGTTTTGTGAATGGAGAACACATGTTATATATATGTAATAATATGTATATTAATCAACATTTTCCTGTGAATTCATCTTTTTTGAAGTTTCGGGTAAATACAAGGATCTTGTCAACCTATATTTTTAGACAAATACTGACCTTTGTTGTGATACATTTAAGGAATGTTTTTAAGTTTTGTGTGAGTTAATGGTGTGTGAATCACACAGACTTGTCACGTAGGCATATTTCATGAAGCGCGCTAGCGCTTCATGAAAAATATGCCTACGTGCAAGTCTCTGTGATTCTCACACCAATAATTCACACTAAACTTAAAAACATTCCTTTATATTTACATTTTAAATGTTTTGAAGCACCGAAAATGTACTCAGTATTTGAATTTTTTCGCTGCCCTCTATTGTTATACTTTACTAACGTTGCTGTAGCCCTATTGTGACGTCACGGTAACGCACGTTTCTCCGTGTATATTTCTACGCGTGAGTATACACGAAAATGATTTTCAAATCAGTTTCACAGTTGGTTTAGTAGAAAAACACAGCGAATGTTAATATATTGTAATAGCTAATTAGCATTTTCCGTTTTTCCCGACCATGACCAGGAGCACAGGCCGGATGTGATCATCTGAAAGAGGATGCTCACTGTTAGCTCACCTAGCTGACTGATCCAGGTGTTCTATGGCTATATGTTATCATTAGTCAACATTCTTTGTTCGTTTAGTTAAACAGTCTTAGCTTTTTCTCTGGAACCACTGCACCTAAGTCAATCAAATTTGGCAAATAACATCCGTGGGTGACGGAAAACAGAAATGTATGTATATATAAAAATTATGGCCCCTGCCTTCTTGGGCCTCAGTGGTGGGCCAAAATCTCTTAAATTTTTGCAATTTCAAACAATCTTCTTTACGCTTGCGTGGCCATTAACCAATCTATTGGCAAGATTTTACTAAGTATTGAGTCCTCTAACAGAATTGTTAAATCCATGGCCCGAGGGTCAGGGGTTCTTGAACTTGGGTGGAGCTCTAGTGAAAGTGCTTTATTTCCTTTAAAATTTTATTCTCTGGTCAAGCGCCTTAAATAAATACAATTTAATGTAAAATTATGACAAGCAAAGGTTTTTTTCCTTAAATTGTAAATTTCATAGCCCCAGGGCTAGGATTTCTGATATTTGGGCGGGGTTTAAATGATTATACAGTGAAAATGCATTAAACGTCCTTGGAATCCACTCCCCTGTTTTGGGTAATAGGCTAATGACTTAAGTTTAAAGTTATGATGAGGAATAGTGTTTTTGATTCTCAAATTCATAAATTGCATCGCTCACCCCAAAGTCAGAGATTCCATATGGTTGAAGGGCTTCTTCGTAATTATATACCGAATAAATAAAAACATGCTTTTCATTGAGCATACCACAGATTTTGTCATTGGCAGTTTCAATTGAGACTGTATCTATCGTACTTCCAAATTCAAACTGGAATATTTTAGCTTATGTTTAATAGGGTTTAAAAAATATTTGTTTTCTATTAACTTTGATTTTTATGAGGAGTGTTTTGAAAGAATTCTGTGTTTGATACTGTTTTTTTGTAAATATTGGCTCATATGCATGGTCTCTGTAATTTGGTTGGCAGCATGAGTCATCTAACTTATCTCTAAGTATTTGAACCATTTATTACTTGTGCACCAAGATACTACATAATCTCTATTTTTTTTCATTCAAAATTCTTAGTGTAGAATCTTAGTGCGAAAAAAATTAAGTGTGCTTATGTTTGCATTCCACATCCACGCGATTTAAATGTACGTCTCCTCCTATATATGGACACCTTAC